CAAGTATGGTACAAACACACTCCCAAAGATAACAAGACCCCCCTTTAAGATAAGGTCAGGATGACAGTATGATGGATAGAGATGTTTGATCGAACCAACATGTACAAGGTAATGGGTGGTAACAAACCACCTCAGGGGGGTGGTAACTAACTATGTCAGAGAGGTGTGCATACCCCGCACTTGGCAGGGCCTGAGTACTACTTTAGTTTAGGCCTGAGGCCTCATACCAGGCCTCATGTCCCAGGCTCTCTCCTTCTACTAGAAGGGGCAGCAGCAGGGAAAGGCTTCAGCTGCTCCCCATGCCAGAGCCTTTCACTGCACTTAGGAAAGTCTCTGGTATGCAGGGAGGCAGCAGGGAAAGGCCGAGCCTTTACTCCACTGCTTCCATCTCTGCCAAAGCCTTTCCCTGCTGCCAGAATTGTTCTATACAGGGAAGGGTTCTAGCAGCAGGGAATTTCTCTTCTTCCCAACAACTGTCTCCCTTCCTCCCTGTACAGATGTCCTATATTTTCACTTGAAAAATCTGGTTGCCCCGATTGTGGGGAGGGGAAGGTGGGAGGGGAGAGTAGGTGTGGGGTAGGTGGAGGCAGGAGGAGATGTCTAGTGGCTAGAACTCCACCAGTTATTTTGGGCAGCAGCTGCCCCTGCACTCAGTGGCTTCCTACTGGCCAGGAAGAACAGGGATCAACTAACAGGCTGTGGCTCTAAGCACCCCACTGAGCAATACTGGCCAAAGCTTATACAGAGAAGCCCCTGTATTTGTGCCTCCAAATCACCTACCATTTTCCATGGCGTCTCGGTTTGAATCTCAGCAATTTTATCTGCAGAATACCATGAAAATTCTTCACTCTCACAAGCACCATTCACACTTGGCAGCGCCAAGCTCTTCTAAAGGTGTTCACTCCCACTACAGAAGGAAGGGTGATAAGAGGAAATTACCTTTCAAAAGGTGTGTCTCCTCCGGCTCTCTGGTTTGTTGACTGTCTAATTCCAGCTGTGGATTAAAACCACCTTTCTCCCCCTGCTCTGGGGATTGCAGAGTCTGAGGTTCCTGATTTAATCCTTCCAGCAAGAAAACAAGAGGAGAAATGAGTTATTTAATGAGTAATTCTCTTCAATCACTTCCTGGTTTTGTGTGTTTGTTTTATTTAGTACGTTGCAACTGCCTCTGCATTTCATTACAGTAACTCCCCACTTAACGTCCTCTTGCTTAACGTCCTTTCGATGTTACGTCCCTGCTCCTTTGCAGAACATGCTCGTTTAAAGTTCTGCAATAACGTTGTTTGGCCGCCTGCTTTGTCCATGGCTGGCAGCCCCCCTATCAGCTCCCCTATGCCCCCCCCACACACCACCTGCCTACCGGTGGACCCCATAGATCAGCGGCTTCCCCCTGCTCCACCCGCCTCCTGCCCCCGGCAATCAGCTGGTTTGCAGCATTTGGGAGGCAGGGGAGGAAAGGGGGACATAACGTAGAGATAACATAATGTTAAGTGAGGAGTTACTGTACATAGTTTCTATTTTATAATAGAAGACCTATTTATCTAACACAGTGGTACACAGCACTGTGACGCTTTGGATAAAGAATGCAATGGACTCAGTAGCATTCTGACCTCTGAACTCTTGTTTGAATACCATTTGAAGTATATTCTTCTTGTATGAAATTCATGTATATTCTTGTATGGTCCAGCCCCATGAGAAAAATACTAAATTCTGGGGCACCTTGGAAAAATGCCAGATTCCATGGCTCTGGAATCAGGATGTCTGTGGGGCTCAACTGAGATTCAAGGGGCAAGTTCACACTTCTCAGAGCTGTTGTTTCAGGCAGATGTCACCACAGCAGTTACACTCGCTCGCACTTCACGTTTTCAAGGTTATCTCCGCAAGCACAAAAGCTATAAATGTTTTTTTTTTTAATGAAAAAGTTCAGATTCTGGATCATAATTCTGCAGCAAAGGGGGAATTCTGTGGCTGTAGAATGTCATACAGAGGGAATTGGATGTAAGCAAGGGAAGATTGCCTTCTGTCCATGGCCACAACTGTTGGGTTCTCAGGTGACCTCCTGTGAGTGTAGATATTGTTAAACCAATACGTTATTTAATGGATACACAGATCCTGTACTTAGATACAGTGTCATATTTCAAAAGTTTCTTCTATTTTGAATGATTTCACAGGTTTGAGGGAGATCGTTATATGAAAAGGGCCTCATCCAAAGCCCACGGAAGTCAATGGAGTTACACCAGTTTTAGCCACCTGAAGATCTTTTTGTGTCTCCTTCTGTTCTGTTGCTAAATATCTATCATAAAGGTTCTATAAAATGTCATTTCACATACAAGTAAAGAAGGCCAAGAATAACTGTCTGGGAATTATATGTTTGAATTTTATCATTTTCATGCACTGAATTCTCACCCATAACTTGGCAATAACATAGATTTTCCCATTAAACATGTACTGTATCTATTTGGAAATGAGTCCTTGATCAGTATTGCAACTATTACATTTTTTTCCTCTTGAAAGACAATATATATATATATATAAAAACCAACTTACCCCATTGAGAATGTTGCAAATCCTGATTTGTGCCGGGAAACATGATTTCTAAACAGTTCAGAAATTGCTGACAGGCCAATTCCCCCTTGCTCTGTATTTGAATTAACAATTTTCTAATTTTGGCCTCTGTATCCGATATTCTGTTCATATTGTCATAGTCCTCATCTGTGATGATGGAGTGGGCAAGTGAATCATCCAAGACACCATCTGGGTCATTTTGAATAATTTTAATCAGTTTATTGCGTTCTTTGCTTATAATCAAGGATTTCTCATCAGTGGCCATTGTTACTGAATCAGCAGATCTGTAATAATGAAAAATACAATGCTTTTCAGACAGGGAGCAAGAAATCATTTGCGATGGTGCCAGAATTAGATTCAGTTTAGCGAGTAACAATCTGGGATTCTGCCTTCTTCAGTATGAGGCACTCAGCCTATTCAATGATTTAGCGTCTGTTAGAGGCTTTCCCTTCACCCTCTCCCCTGTTCTTGGTAAGGAGAAGCACAATTTTTCTTCACAATCAGCTGGGAAAATGTGGTTTAAAGAAGAGAAGGACAGGAAAATATCCAGAACCCTGCTGGAGAGGGAAGGAGACTGTTTAAATTTTGACCTACCCAAACTGGGGACCAGCTTTCTTTCTCTTCTCCCAGAGAGAGAGTGTTTTGGTTCTTCTACCTGAA